GCGGCGGAGTCCGGCTGGGTGAAAGCCCTCTGCTCCACCTGGCCACGCTAAGGAGCCTGTTCTCAGCAGAACGTGTACACGGCCCGGGCTGAGCACAGCGGACTCACAAAGAGCCAAGGTGGGGGAGCCCCCCAAGGCAGCCGCTGGGGTCCCCGACCCCCCTCAAATGGCGCCGCCTCGGAGGCCCCTCCGCCGCCCTTAAGCCGGTGCTCGGCGCTGCTCCCGCGGCCCGTCCCAGGCCCTTAGCGCTCTCCCAAGAGGAAGGGTTTAAAGGGGTCTTCAGACAGAAAAGGTGAAGGGATAAGTCATGTTTTTATTTTTAAAAAATATGTTTTTATTGGTTTCAGAGAGGAAGGGAGAGAGAGAGAAGCATCAATGATGAGAGATTCACCCATCAGCTGCCTCCCGCACGCCCTCCATGGGATGGAGCCCATAACCCGGGCGAGTGCCCTGACTGGGAGTTGAACCCTGACCTCCGAGTTCATAGGTTATTGCTCGATCACTGAGCCACGCCAGCCAGGTGATGTCATGTTTTAACCAGCCTGCGCCGCGTTCTCCCTTCCTTCTAAGCTCCCTTCTCCCTCAAAGGGCACTTTAAGGCCTCACTGGTCAGATACAGTCACAGGTTGTCCAGCTCTTCTTTCTATAGTTTATAGTCGGGTGTGCGTAGGGAGACTTCAGACCCGTGTTGTGGGCTGCTGTCGCCTACTCTTTCTAAGTGTTTCTAGAATTATTACAAGAATAGCGAATGGAAAGGAGCTTCCTGACTGGCCATTCAGATGTCCCTTGGGCCGCAGGCGCAGATGAGTAATCAGATTCACTGGGCAAATGAATGCCTCAAGGCCAAGCGCTGTGCTAGGGACGGGCACAGCAATGAGCAAACCAGGTACTGCACCCGTGGAGTTACAGTGGGGGACATGGGCACGTGTTTATGTCAGGGTTGCTAACTAAAAAGAAAAAGCAGGGAACAGTGTACGCGTGCCCGTGGGGGAGGAGAGTGCTGTAACACAGAGTTGAACCCGGATCCTGGGCCGACTTCCCCGATCAGGTGACATAGAAGGAAGAGCAAGTGCAAAGGCCCTGAGACAGAATGGGGCTGGAGCCGATCGAGGAGGAAGGACAGGAGAGGACCAGATGGAGAAGGGCTTGCTGGCCACTCTTAAGGACTTTGTTTATTCCTTTCATTAAATTGGAAATCTCTAGAAGGGGTTAAGCAGGGTGAGGAAAGGACCCTATGGCTCCCGTGTGGGGAATAAATGGAGAGTGAGCAAGCAGGCAGATTAAATAGGCTAGTGCAGTAACCCAGGCAAGAGATGATGGGGCTCGGCGCAGCTTGATAGCAACCAGTAAGGGAGAAGTGGTCTGATTGAAGACTGAGCTAATGACTTGCTAATGGTGGGATATGAAAGGAGTCAAGGGTGAGTCTTGGAGGAGTTGGCCAACAGTTAAGCTCCTCCTGGGATTTAGACTGGATAGGCACTGAGGGAGTTTTCTGGACTAGTTTGTCTATTGTATATGCTAAGTAATTAAATCTGAGGCTCTCTATGTAATAAGTAATTTATAAAGTAAGGTAGAGCCATTGAAATCCCCCTACATTGTGCCAGGGGAAAAATAATTCATATTTTGCTACTAGATCAGGTCCCTTTGTTACAGCATCTCATAACTCCTTTGTCTTCATAAAGCTTTCCCAGTGTGTAACCATATATTTCTGTCATTTTTTTGCCCTCCAAAAAAACCTTTAGTCTTCCTTTGGCAGACAAGCTTCTGGCAGACAAGCAGGGATTATAAAGTGAATCCATAGTATGCATTTCTCATTCTTGATATATCTCTGAGTTTTCCTGCCAACGATGGTTGAAGCTTATTACATTTTCCTAAATACAGAGAAAGGTTTTCATTCCAGAGAACCTGGGAATTTCATTAGTAACAGTCAAGACTGTTGGTAAAAATGAAAATATGCTTTTCTCAATTTTCCTAACAATATCTTAGCATATCATACCATCCAGCAATCACACTCTTTGGTATTTACCAAAAGATTTGAAAACATATCCATACAAAAGCCTGCACAAGGATGGTTATAGCAGTTTTATTCATAATTTTCAAACTTGAAAGCAATCAAAATGTCCTTTAGTTAGTGAATGGATAATCTGTGGCACATCTAGACAGTGAAATATTATTAAGAGTTAAAAAGAATTTAGCTATTAACCCATGAAAAGACATGGAGGAACTTTAAATGCATTATTGCTAAGTGAAAGGAGCCAATCTGAAAAGGCTACCTATTGTATGATTCTTACCTATATGACATTGTGGAAAAGGCAAAACTATGGAGACAATAAAAAGATCAGTGGCTGCCAGGGGTTGAAGGGAGGAAGGGAGGTAGAGCACAGAGGATTTTTAGGGCAGTGAAAACTATTTTGTATGGTATCATAATGTAGATACGTGTCATTATACATTTCCCGAACACATAGAATGTACACCACCAAGACTGAACCCTAATGTAAACTATGGACTTGGGTGATTATGTGCCAATGTGGTTTCATTTATAGAAACAATGGGATGTTGATAGTGGGGGAAGCTGTGTGTGTGTGGAGGCAAGGATATATGGGAACTCTGTACTTTCCACCCAAAAAATAGTCTTAAAAAATACCTAAGGACTGACAGCTATTGAGTGCTCATGCTCACCATGTTCCAGGCATGTGCTATGAGCTTTTATTTTATTTTAGAAAAGTGAATAATTCTGTGAGAAAGAGATTCCATCCTAGAGGATATTTAAGTGTTTTCAATTGTATTGGTAATGCTTCATTTCACAAGTATTGATTGTATTATTTTAAATCTTTTTATCTTAAATACTTCATAATACATTTAAAATATGAATGAATGAAAGAGAATAAATGCAACTTTAGCTTCACATGAACTTGCTCACTGAGACAATGGGTTGTTAGATCAATCTTTACATCTGGTCTGCTTGACATTATATTTTATTCCTCAGTGTTACTGGTGTTCAGGTATACTCTCCTTGTGTGCTTAGACACACTAAGGCTGTGGTCAGCAAACTGCGGCTATAGGGCCACATGCTCTTTGGCCCCTTGAGTGTGGCTCTTCCTAAGCCTTAGGAGTACCCTAATTAAGTTAATAACAATGTACCTACCTATATAGTTTAAGTTTAAAAAATTTGGCTCTCAAAAGAAATTTCAGTCATTGTACTGTTGATATTTGGCTCTGTTGACTAATGAGTTTGCCGACCACTGCACTAAGGCATCTTTCTATAAATTAATACTGGGGACTAAACATACTGAAGACCAAGGGTGAAGACCTGACCCTGAGGCATGGAACATTCACACCATGTGAGAACTCTTGGGAAAAATCCAACTTGCCTTCACCAGCTGAAACCCCTTTCTTTGCCTGCCCTCAGACTTAACATAATCTTAAAAATGTTATTTAAATACTAGAGGCCCAGTGCACGAAACTCATGCACTGGTAGGGTCCCTAGCAACTGCCAGCTGCTAGCCAGGTACTCCCTTCCTTCCCTTGGCAGGCCCACCCCCTGGTTGAACTCCTGGATGAACTCCCAGTTGAGGGGACAATTTGCATACTATGCTTTTATTATATAGGATTTAAATCCTGTGTTACTATTTTACTTCCCAAGACTTTGTGTCTTAAATATCCCTGACCATACTGTAATCTCTTGACGATATACTCTTCCTATCCCCAATGGACTCAACATAGAAGACGGTTATACTATAATTGTAGAAGATGGTTATACTGATGACCTCCAAGGAACCACGCCTCCTGGTACTCAAACACCTGTGTAATCCCCTCCCACAATGACTCTGGGTTTAGTGCATGACTTGCTTTGGCCAATAGAGGATTAGCAAGCATGAGGCAAGTAGAGGCTTGATAAGCACATGCCCTCTTGGAACCCAGCTGTGTTGTAAAGAAAGAAGCTCAGGCTAGACTGCTGAATGACGACAGAGAGAAGTCCTACCCTTTCACAGATCCCTGCAAGATCCCAGATATATGGGTGAAGCCATCTTAGATCTGCCAGCCAACCCATGAGCTGGTTCCTTGCTCTGAAAAGAATGCCTCATCTTTTTTCTAGA